TCCTTTAAAATAGATATTCCATTGCATGTTAAAACACCAGTGATATTTGTGTCTCGCCCACACCAGTCTTTCTTTGTTTTCTCAGCATCATGCGAGTAGTTTGTCTGGGAAAACATCTGACAAATGAAACGGGTCATCTGGTAACTGGTGGCCAATCGATTGTTGCATATCTACTGTGAAGGCCTCTTTACATGATTCAGTATTTGAGCTCTAAATTGGCACATTATAAGTTATTGACTACCTACTTTCACTTTTAATCAATTATACTTGGCCGGTCTGGACAGTAATGTGGGCTGCTGCTGTCCCATACTTAAAGATGTCCCGCGTCCTGATGACAAACAGTCCGTCACAACAGCTGTCTGAAGAGCTTGACCTCAAATTGCCCAGTCATTGTGTAACCCTAATACCATTTGCAGGGTCTGGGTTGCCTAGAGCACAAGCATGCATATGGCCTAAGGTAACACTATAAATGCACAAATGTCAGCTGGTTCTTTGTATAAATGTAAATAAAATACGATATAAGAAATAAGTTATGGTAGTTAATGCTTAGTACTCTTTGCATTCAATAAACCAGATGTTTTTCCCACATTCAGTCATCGTACCAGGATGCCCTCTGTACTTGTTTTTACTGAAGGGAAAATATTTGACGGTCCTAATATTGTCCCCTAGTTTCAGCTCCATTTAACCTGGCAGAAGATCAAGTAGGTGCCTGCCAAAATCAGTTATTGCCAGCTGATCAGAAGGCAGCTGTGTCCACCATTGAAGCTTTGCTCTTAGTGTGTGTGGTAAGATAAGACCCTCTGATCAATCGTAAAAATTAAGCACAAACTCACAGTTATTCTTTGCTGCATTGCCATTACATTCTCACCAATGAACCCACAGTATCAGTACAGCCCTCAGTAACACCTTATCTCCTCTCTCATCACTAACCATAAAGGCAAATCCCAACTGCCCTTCATTGCCTCGGCTTAGATGGAGCATCTAGTCAAATGCAGTGGGTCTGGGCTTTGTGCGTTTCTAATGCAAAGTGCTTGTGTGAGTGTAGCAGGAAGCAACACATGAAATCACTGACATGCTGATAAGAGCTGTTACCTGGTCAGAGAGATAACAAAATATAAGCTTTGACTCGACTCTGCTGGAGCTGAAATATTATTTATTTATGCAGGTTTGACCTTTAACCCTTGTTTCCAGCTAACTAGATCATTTCCCACTGTGCACTAAACGTCCCGGGGCTTGCACCTGCACGTGCACGAACATGTTATTCTTCCTCAACTCTCAACTTTGCAGTTTTAGCAGGGATGGGACTTTTTTTATTGTCAGTTCATCTGTCGGTTATTTCTTTGATTAGTTGTTCGCTCGGTCAGAAAATAGTTAAACATTTCCTCAAATGTCCTTTTTTAATGTTCAAAAAGCTCTTTATTTCTCTCATACTGCCTGTGCTGCAGCACCTCTTTTCACCCTCTGTCTGAGACCAGAGCCCAGTCTGCTTTGATTGGTTAGCTGGTCGGCTCTGTTGTGATTGGTCAACCAGCTTAGAGATGTCCCGCCCCTTAGCCTTATCACGTACAATGTGTTGGAGCGCTAGCCAATAGAGTTCCACAGTGACGCGTCCTAAAACCCGGAAGTAAACTCCTTCCGGTTCCTTCGACAAAAACGCAAGTTCTCCATAGGATTTTGGAAAATAGCTGAAAATAAGGTCTGTGGTTGAAACACATTTAAGAGACGGATCACGTTTTGTTCAGCCGGATAATCTCCACATGTCTTCCCTACTTTTAGAATTTTCTAATCATAAATCTAGCAAAATGCTAACGTTATGCTATAAAGGGCAGGGTCGCTGCTTCAACGTCACGCCAACTTAAGATCCATATTCAAACACACAGATTCTAAATGGTACGAGTTGAAGCGTTTGTTTGAACACTTTGCAGGAGGCAGGGACTTGCTTTCAAGCAGAACAGGGCAACTTAGAGCAGTGTTTACGTGTTCGGCGTAATGACGTACAACGACCCTCGACAACTTCTGTAGTCCTATTCAGCCACTTGGTAACAACCATCGTTTTTCAGACACGTCAACTCTTCAGAAATCACCAGCGGGGTCACTGCTGATGGATTTAATGTCGTAGAACAAAACGTGATCCGTCTCTTCAATGCGTCTCAACCACAGACCTTATTTCCAGCTATCTTCCTAAACCCTATGGAGAGATCTCATTGCTTTTTTGGCGAAGGAACCGGAAGTGGTAACAATGCTAACTTACTTCCGGGTTTTAGGACGCGTCACTGTGGCACTCTATAGAAGCAAGAGTCTTACATAGGGATGTCACCATATTCAGTTCAATTGAGTCGTTTTAGGCAGTGTGGAAGAGGCTTTGATAGCATTTACATCCTATCCAGCTTGTGTGGCCTTCTCCAGTTTACCTATTTTATGAATGTGCAAAGTATAAACGTATACTTTGGTTTTGTATTTCTCTTTTGTGGTGCTCCATTTTGAAATCGCATGGAGGCCTGAGTCGACTGCACCTCCACCTCTACAGACGTCTCTTAACACCCTGTCTGCAGTCTGTAGTTATCTGCAGTGGTGTGACTAATAACAGGGTCTACCTGGAAGCAATTTGACGTTGGACTCTCAGCACTACCATGAAATGTGTCTGCTCTCCTTGAGTCACCGACATGTTTCAGGACTGCTGTATCTGTGGTGGCGTTGTGACAAATTAGTCATGTCCCTCGCTCAGAAAACACACACACACACTGTACTGGTGACAACACCCTGTTTTCCTATATAATTGTACACCTTTGACTTTTGATTATGTAAGCAATCGCTGTGCAAACGTAATCAGAAACAGTCACTGCTTTGCTCACTGTGTCTGGTATCAATGTCTGCCTACATCATCAGCTGTGACAATAACAGTAAGCTTTGCAAGGACTAACAACATGGTGGATGGTTGTTTACACAAGTAATGCAAATCCAGATCAAGCCGTGAAGCTGCGACGTCTCCACTGCTATCCTCATGTGTTTCAGACAACTGTTAGCATGCTGCCAAGTGGACATTCTTGACCACAGCTCTGCCAAAGCCTCCAGGACCAGGCTAAAGGGCTCGGTAATCCCCCCCCTTCTGTTAGCTAAAGAGCTGCCAATGAGTTGAGCGATCAAATCCACCCAGTCCCCGTGTGACTGCCTGACATTTACCCCGCTAACCCAAAAGGAAAAGCTTGTTTCCACTCGGCCACAGTTGAGAAAGTCTTAATAAATGTGCCCTTTGAATCAGCTCAGAGCGTGATGAGGTTAAGAGGCATCGGATTTGTTTGGAAGCAAGAGGGAGGAAGTAGAGCATTGTGAGACAGATTGTTGTATCCAGCTGCTGTGAAAAAAAGTTGCCGCAGGTGTAAGGGTGATTAGCGCGATGTGATTAGCAGCAATGAAATGTGACTTAGAGTTCAAGAGTTCACTTAAATGTCAGGAAGCTGCAGAACTTTCATAAACTACATTTGTACATATTTCTTTTCTAGCCCACACCACTTTTTTTTAGTTTCCTCAGCATCTCGGACTAATCCCCAAGAATGTTTCTGGATCTGGAGTGTGGGGGGTTTAGACCACTGTAAATGTGGAAAAGGAATGATTTCAGCCCTGCTTACCCACCCTGCCTGTACTTCAGCACAGCCCTTAATGCTTATTATCGCCGCCTGGTATTTGTCTGAGAGCTTTTTATTCCTCCCTTCAATTTTCAGAGGTTTCTTTTATTCATACCGTGTGTGAGACTCGTCCCACATCAGTGGAGGAGTTTAAAAATATGTATTAGAGGACTGCTTTCTAGGAAATGATGACTTTAAGAGTATCGAACCGTTTTCATTTATTTCAGTCCTGCACGACCCTCTGAATATTTTTGCACATTTGTTTATAAAAATACCTCCTTTTAGTATCTGCACAGCTTCCACTTTTCATAACAATACTGCAGTTATTTTATTATTCAGATTATTTTTTCATTTTAGACTGTATGTCGTTTTTTAGTATATCTATGTTTCATGTAAATATTTTTCCAAATGTAACGTTATAATCTGGGTTTTTTTTAAGCTGAGTGCTTCTTAACATTTAACAAACTATGAATGTGTCATACCCACTTAACGGGAAGAAACTCAGCTTTCAGACAATATTAACCATTTTTAGCTAAAACGAAACCAGGATAATAACAAAGGCTCTGAATTAGCCCTGAGTGAAAAAATGCTAACACACTTAGCACAGAACTCAAGGTAAAATACCCTTATTACTGATCATAGCTACACAAACAAGATATCGATTAGCAAGCTGATATTCCACAGATTCCAGACATATAAGTATCATCACTGAGCGATCAGAACTCGCGGCGAAACGACAACAAACAACAACAAAATTAGCTTTACGGGACCAAATCAGATAATAAGTCTTACCGTTGCTGTTTCTGATCAAAAGTCGTGTTCAATGGCATTAAAACGATAAAAACGCATCTGAAGGTTAATCCATAGGTTAATCCAATGTGTCTGTCACTTTGAAATGATTACTGATAATCCATCATTCCATTTTTATGTCAATAACTGAGATTTCATATTAGCTGCTATGATAGCTACGAGAGTGTATGACAGCTTCCGGTTTTGGGCATTCTGGCTACGCATCACTCTATTCACCAATGGGTAATGTTTAGATGGATTTTAGGAACTTCCCCTCGATTCTATTGGCTCTAACGCTTACAAAGAGGTGTCAATCATCAACATCGACCGACGGCGGCCAGAGATATGGAAAATCCACCCAAATGACCCCAGAAGTGTTTTATTTCTTCTAAACCTCTCTAAAAAGGTCACATGTCACTTGTTTTGCATCAATCTTGATACAGGGTACTTATTGTATGTTATAGTTTGGATTCCTAAAGCTTTTAGTCTACCATCCCATCATTCAAGGGTGGTTTTCACTATAAGTAATGTTTACAGACCTATGATGTTTTCTAAACTCTTCCACCTTGATTTCTTTCCTTCTTCTAGGGATTGGGAAGGTGAAGAGCAGGAAGGGCGGGATGAGGGACACGGCCTCCAACGCGGACGCAGACGGGTACGATAACGGCGAGCGTCTGTACGACCTCAACCTTCCGGCGCTGGTGAAGTTCAGCTACACGGCGGAGCGCGAGGACGAGCTGTCTCTGGTGAAGGGCACGCGGGTGGTGGTGATGGAGAAGTGCAGCGACGGATGGTGGCGCGGCAGCTACAGCGGGCGCTCCGGGTGGTTCCCCTCCAACTACGTGACGGAGGACATGGACGGCACGGCGGGGGGCGGGCTTGGAGACCCCGCCGGATCGCTGACGGAGAAGCTGGCGGCCGTGGTGAACAGCACCGCCAACGGGAACCGCGTGCTGCACACGGTCCAGGCGCTCTACCCCTTCGGCTCCGGGAACGACGAGGAGCTGAACTTTGAGAAGGGCGAGGTGATGGAGGTGGTGGAGAAGCCGGAGAACGACCCCGAGTGGTGGAAGTGTCGCAAAGCGGACGGACAGCTGGGCTTGGTGCCTAAAAACTACGTCACGGTGCTGGACTCCGGTTCGTTTAAACCCGGAGCGGGACCCGTGGGGCCGCCCACGCCCGACTGCGACTACATCACGCCCTCCACCGTGGGGCGCTTCGCGGGGAAGGAGTGGTACTACGGGAAGGTGACGCGCCACCAGGCGGAGGTCGCGCTCAACCAGAGGGGCGTCGAGGGGGACTTCCTCATCCGGGACAGCGAGTCATCGGTCAGTAGCAGTGTTCATTTTGGCAGATATTTTTGATTTAGTCTTTAGACGAAAATGGTTATTCGTTTTAGTCACATTTTAGTCCTTTTTATCCTTCATAGTTTTAGTCGACTTTTAGTCCAAATGTTTTCTCTCTTTAAACCAATTCAGTTAGGCAAACACAGGAATCTGAAATTGGAATCAAGGTGACAGCATCAAGTGTTGAAATTCCACTTCACTTTTGTAATATCTAGGGATGGAAAAAATGTCATTTCATAATATTGTAGCGACCCGGTATAGGGTGCTGAGTGGGTCACTCAAGCATCCCCCGTCTCTCTGCCAATCACAGAGCTGCTCAGTAATGCTGGTCGGTGTGCGGGCCTGTGGTTGGGGGGGGCAGAGGGGGAGGGCTGGAGAGTGGTGATGTTGACCCTGCTGTGTGTGTGTGTGTGAGAGTTAGGGAGTGGAGTACTGAGTGATGTTGAACCTGTAACCTGTGACCTATGAACCTATATCTGTATAGAGAGGCGAAGTCCCGCCCTTCTACTTCCGACCCATGGGACCTTATTTCGGGAAAAATGATGTATTGAAGTCAATGGAGAGAGAAAGATTATCTTTGGATCCCGTTTGAATTGTGCCACGAATTACACATATGATGTTTGTCAATCTTAAAAAATCATTTCCATGTCAGAAAAGTCACAGTTTGTCGTAAAACTGTTGAAATATAAGACTATGAAAAATACGCAACTAGGAAGACTACAAATCCCAGAGTCCCGGTCCCGCATGCTGGCTCTTAGGAACCGACTCACTCCCCTTGTGTGTATGTACAGCTCTCAACATGCCCAGACTTGGAGTGATTTTCACCTCTTTTAATACTTTCCGCCTCATTCTGAAAGAAAGAAATGAAATGTGCCAACGTGACGGCCGTCTGGGTGTGTGGTGCGGGACGGGAGAAGTAGGTCATTGAGAGGTTTCACACAAACAAAAGTGTTACTTCACAGTTTTACGACACATTTTAATTTTTTTGACTTGCAAAATTATCTTTTAAATTGACAAACATCATACGTGTAATTCGTGGCACAATTCAAACGGGATCGAACGATAATCTTTCTCTCCCCATTGACTTCAATACATACTTTTTCCGAAATAAGGTCCCATGGAGGTCCACCGGAAAGGGAGGGACTTCGCCTCTCTATGCTATCAAAGGAGTTATTAAACCTAATAACTTTTTGTTATGTTTCCGACTCCTATTGTGGAACGTTACAATATGTTTCTCAATGTCTTTCATTTCGGTAAAGCACTTTGAATTGCCTTGTGTTGAAAGGTGCTATATAAATAAACGTGCCTTGCCTACAAAGGTTACAGCAGCAAGGGCCCTGGATACTATGATTTTGATTGATGAACGTTTTCAATAATGTGGATAAGGCTTTGGTTGTCAGTCCAACACAGTGATCCTACATCACACTTAAAGAAAGTGTAGGGCGATATTTAAGCACTTTTTAAAGCCGGTCTCTCTCCCTCCCACATCCATCTGATATATCTGCACTGCGTTTGCTACGTTCCACAATCTCTCTAAGCTTTTAAATCTCAATAAACAAATAAAAGGTCACGGTCATATTCTTATACCTATTATCTAAATCCTTGCTATGCGACTGCAGCAGTAAATGCTACGAGCAGTTGTGTGTCTCACTGTCCTCAGGAGGTAGGAATCTGTCCGTCTGATAATGTAACGTCACATTTCTCTTTCTTTCCGCAGCCAAACGACTTCTCCATCTCCCTGAAGGCGCAGAGCAAGAACAAGCATTTCAAGGTGCAGCTGAAGGAAACCCTTTACTGCATCGGACAGCGCAAGTTCAACTCCATGGAGGAGCTTGTGGAACACTACAAAAAGGCTCCCATCTTCACCAGCGAGCAGGGAGACAAACTGTACCTGATCAAGGCCCTGGCCGCCTCCTGATCCCTCTCCGCTGCACACACAGGAACACACACATTTTTACATTAACTGCATCCATATATACACAGATAACCTACGGCACACTAACATGTCAACTCCAAGCCTGAGGACTCGACACATCGCCGGGACTTCAATGCCCGATTTGTGAGCATTCCAAGAGGAGGTATGGGAAAAGCATGGGAGAGACACGGAGGAAAAAGGGGGAGACAAAGAGACGATATGGACTCCTGAGAGTTGACTACAGACCTCTTGGTCGCCTATTTTAAATTATCCAGATGTGTTAGGTCATAGGCAATGCCATGTATTTCCACCTTGATATCTATTAGAGTTGCATTTAGTTTCTTTTCTTTTGTTTTTGTTGATAATATATAATCTTTTTAACAGTTTTTTTTATTTTTTAAATGTGATTTCTTTATTTGAACTGTATCCAACACGACAACCACCCGCCCCGTGTTTTTTAAGCAAACTATCCCGCAGAGCTCATTTCTGTGTCGTCTGTCTTAATTCGTTCTTTTATGATTGTGGACACACTAATCCACGACTTCTGCTAATCATGAATACAACAAAAAAAACAAGTGACCAAAATATATTTATTGATACCTGTTAGGCGGCGGCGGCGGCGATCGGAGTGTCACAGATCTGCGGGTTCTAGGAGGATTGCTCTTCTCGTGCAAACTAGTTGTCTTTGCGTGTCTCACATATTGCTGTATCCATATCATGTGAATGTTACAAAGCCGAGGCATCGCAGTGTGTGTGTGGTGGGGGGGGGGGTGACGCTGCATGGTGCATGCAAACAGAAAAGTGTCCTCACCCCCGCTGTTATCTCCGAAAACAGTGTGTCCATAGAGGTCACGTGGAGTGCTTTCCCTCGGAAGAGTGTGAGTGACAGCTGAGGCGTCCTGTAAAGTTGCCAAAGGGGACGTTTCTCTGCACATGTTGAGGGCGGAGGAGGAGGAGGGGGGGGGGGAACGAGCGAAGGATGATGTCACCGCTCCTGAATTAGTGATCACTGGAGGAGTTAGGGGGTCACCCAGGGGTCGAGTTAGTGCGGTCGCAGCGAATACACATCCAGCTGGGAGAGGAGACGCCCTCCTCCTCCTCTGAGGGTTTCAGGAGGTGAAGGAAATGCTTGATGGTTATCTGGGCATTTCATTTAAAAATGTCTTAAGAAGTCTCCTCGCTTATAGTCTGTGTGCAGGTCGTAGAGTCCTGTTGTGAACGTGGAGATGTTGAGTACCCCGAAGTTTTATGATGTTTAGTACGGGTCCCCAGTACATAGAAGCTGACCGATGCTAACCTGCATATGTCGGGCAATTTGCACAATTAGCATAAGTTGACAACAGTTTTAAAATGACTTGGCCGATTTGAAACATTTTTGAGTGGTTTTGGAGGATGTTGGAAGATCAACAATGGCAGTTTTAACCAGAAAGTTGCCATGTTTTGAACTCTATGGAGTTTTAGGGGACTCAAAACTGCAATTTGTTATCCTAAACATATCAGAAATGGATTCAACATCCTCAATAACCTTAAAAAAACACACCAGAATTGTCCAAATCGGCAAAAGCCATTGTTTACCTATTGTCTGCATGTGCTATTTAATGCAACGTATGCTCTTTGTGCAAATTCCCCATCATATGCAAGTCAGCATCCGGTAGTTTCTATGTGCTGGGGACCCATACTATAACGTACAACTTTGGGGTACTCAACATTTCCGGGTCTTCACAGCTGGCAGGTAGATTATTCGGGGGGGGGGAATCCAGCTTGTTTCAAACCCAGCAGAGCCCCTGGTTTGTATTTACAGTGATCGAGTTAGTCGTGGAGTGAAAATGGACCAAGTATTTGTTTGAATGTCGCAGCTAGCAGATGATGATGATGATGATGATGCTCGGGGTGATGAGTTCTCCAGCTGTTGGACCTGAGCTCGGAGAAAAAGAGAGAGATGGAGGGAGGAGGGATATCATTGAGGAGCAGTGGAAAAATGGACCTTAAAAAAAACAAGCAGCGATCTGGGAGAGTGTGTTTCCACGGAGGATCTGGATTAGAGATTTCCAGGCACTGACGGGCGGGGAAGTGAACTGAGGCCAAAGCTGATGTATCATAGTTTGAGGATGAAACATGTTGGATGGGTTTGTAACTTCTAATGAATCCAAGCATGAGAAAGTCAGTCATGCCACAAAGAACACATGGGTGTGAACCTCTCTGCTGAGTGACAGAGAAAGCTGCTTCTTCTCTCTGTTTTGGAGCCGTACGAAATGGACACTGCAAACAATTACCTTTCACTTTGATTCATGGCAAGTTCTAATTATGCACCTGCAGTGAGTTTAAGTTCGCATTAAGCGGGACAAAAACAACATTCCAGGAATAAAAAAAAAAGCTCCGGTTTGGACTCGAAAAAGCTCTTGTTCGACGTGATGAAAAATGGTTTATTTTGGGTCCAAAATCTGTAAAAAAGTATTGATATTTTGGTTGTTTTTGCCTCCTTTCTTCTGTTTTGCAGAGCAGTATTTTGGTTACAGAAATCCTGTTTTTTGTCACTAATTTCTGCCTTTTTTCCCCCCTCTGATTCTTCATGTGAGATAGTATTAACCAAACGCTATCATTTGTGAAATCCCCTCCCTCCATATTGAAAGCATCTGCAATATTTCGCAGCATTAAAGTGACAACCGCCAACGCACCGTGCGACAGTTTGAAGGATTTAGGAGATTTGAATGTGCCTTCACAGCTTTCTGTCAACCAAAGGTTAACATCTTATTATTTGTATCTTTTCCTCCCACTTCTTGTCACTTAGCCGTGTTATTTGCTTTGCATGTGCGTCAGTCTGCGATGTGTTGGAGGATGTCATCCTTATCGAGAAGGTGTGTTTCCCTCCTTTAGCTGTCGGCTAAAAACGTGTCTTTTTGTCACGCATAAAATGCCCATTTGGTGATATTGTGTGTAGTTTCAAGTGACCTTACCTTTGCTGATCTCATCAAGTATAACTTCTTAAACGCCTACATGTACATATGTGCTGATGTTCATTCAGAACCTGCAGGTGTGATGTAATCATGACCTGAATCTCATGTACCGGCATCCTCCATGTTTCCAAGGAAATAGTCTGTATGTGTTTCATATAAGACTAGTGTAAGACATTCACTTTTAGCCACTTAAATATGTACAAAAAAAAATCCTCAATGTGTTATTTGAATACAGAGTATCTCCTTGATATTGTTATAAATTGGGATTTTACTTTTCATTTTACACCAATGGAGGCCGCATGAGCAGAGCCTTGTAGCTGTACAGAAATGGTTTTGCTTATAAAGACACAGAGGTCAGTTGTGACGGATATTATCGTTGATCAAATCAAGAAACTACAGAGCAGCTGGAAACGTATTTCTTGTCTGCTAACCAAGCCTGAGATCATCTTGACTGATTTCTCGATGATATCCAGAACAATCGACCCGTGTTTTTTTAAACTGTTGGTGCTTTTTGTGCTGCTTTCTTGGTGGTCTCTGTCCCACAAAGCTTTTTTTTTTCCCTGTATGAGAGAGTGAAGCAAAACAGATCCATGCTGTGGAATGATAAAGGCAGTGCTGTGAAATTTAATGTCATGCTCTTAATACTGTTTTTATGGCGGGGGAGGGGGGGGGAGGAGATCGTCTTCAGGTGTAATAATTTAGAAGAGTTTATTAGAGTGTTCGAAAGACGTAATAAACGGCAAAAAAATGATCATGTCTTGTTTTGATCTGTTGTGAATTGTTAAATGTTGGTATATCCACTTTTCCTTAAAGGGGCCCTATTCTGCTTTTTGGGGTTTTTCCTTTCCTGTAGTGTGTTTATATAGGTTTATGTGCATGTAAATGGTCTGCAGAAGCTCAAATGTGAACATTGGGAGCAAAAACAAACAAATGTGAATCTGAAAATGAGCAGAATAGGGCCCCTTTAACTTCCCTTCTTTCCTAAAGGTGTGTTTATTGGATACATAAAAAAAGAAGTTGTGCAAACTAGCCGAACTTTCTAAAAACTGGGTGGGTTTCCTTTGTTCCCGTCGCTATGATGTGATAATATTGCAGTTTAAACGGGGACTTTTCACAGCTGTGGTTTTGTGTGTTGCATGTGCGCCATCTGGTGGCCACGTGTGTCATTACACCTCCCAACACCACCCAGGCCAATACAAAAAAAAAAACCTTTTAACCATGATTTTAGTCCCCTATTCCAAATCACTCTTTAGAAGACCATGACATCATTTCAAGATAAATTCCTCTTATCATTCACATTGGATGCAAATACTTTTCCATTATGATAAACGTCGCTCATGAATCTCATAAATCCCCCTCGATGTCCCAGGATCTCAGGCCTATTTAGAGACAAAGTAGGCCTGTGTTGTTGTTACGTAACTTTGGGCTGATTCGAGCCAAAACCCCCCCCCCCCCCGCCTGGTCTTACAGTATCTGACCCGAAACACAAGAGAGCAGCAGGAACCTTCAGCTTCAGTCCCCATTTCAGAGAATAAAGCAAAAACATTACAAGTGTATATATGTGGGGAACAAACAATCTTGTTTTTAAAGTGATCCCACAGCGAGCAAAAGTACTCCATGATTACAAGTGTTTACTATGTCATTACTATGTATGTGTACCACTTATAGTATACTGTGTGTGACCTGCGCTATCAAAATCAGTCACTTTGACCCCATTTTGAGTTACATACACTGTAACATAACATGATCACTGTCGAGACACAATTACGAGAAAAAGGCCTTTAAAGTTTGCTGACATTTTTAGCCAGAGTTATTTTCAGACTGTTCACATTGTCACTGTCTTTTCAAGCCTGAAACATGTATTTAACATCTGAATATGGCGACAGAAGTGACCAAAACACGACTTGTTGACAAAAATCTGTTTAATTTGGATCTCATTTGATAGAGCGTATACTTTTATACATAGTTATAAATCTTATAAAGCAGAGAATATTAATTGACTAACAGTTAAAAAGTTAAAGGTCACCTATTATGCAAAATCCTCTTCTTCATGTCTCTTCTACATCAACATGTGTCCCCTCTTCTTCATGTCTCTTCTTCATCAACATGTGTCCCCTCTTCTTCATGTCTCTTCTACATCAACATGTGTCCCCTCTTCTTCATGTCTCTTCTACATCAACATGTGTCCCCTCTTCTCATGTCTCTTCTACATCAACATGTGTCCCCTCTTCTTCATGTCTCTTCTACATCAACATGTGTCCCCTCTTCTTCATGTCTCTTCTACATCAACATGTGTCCCCTCTTCTTCATGTCTCTTCTACATCAACATGTGTCCCCTCTTCTTCATGTCTCTTCTACATCAACATGTGTCCCCTCTTCTTCATGTCTCTTCTACATCAACATGTGTCCCCTCTTCTTCATGTCTCTTCTACATCAACATGTGTCCCCTCTTCTTCATGTCTCTTCTTCATCAACATGTGTCCCCTCTGTGTAAAGAGACTCTGAAAGTTTCAGGAACAAAGATTCTCTCTCTCTTTGTCCTGATCCATTTTTATAAAAACCTGTCTGAACATGAGCTGATCAGATTTTGGCCACTTTATGTCACAACGATTGTTTGACTTGTGTAACCATTAGCCAATCAGCAATAGGGTTGCAAAGGGGCGGAACATTTCTGGTAAATTTCCGGAAAGTTTCCAGATTTTATTTATTTATTCTTTTTTAAGTAGAACAGAACAAGTTTTAATTATTTTATTGAACAATTATGTTTAATTGAACGAAAACAGGAATGTTGAGTTAAATATTACTCATCCCCCCCAACCCCACTCATTAAAAAATGAACAAAAATGCACCCCCCATCCAAAAATCCCCACAAACTTCCATTCAAAATGTGAAATGAAAAGAGCCCCTCTCCCTCCAAACAGTCCCATTAAACATGCACATCTTCCTTCAAGCAATCCTCTGCATTTTGGCTAAACCCTTTCAGTCAACGGGCTCTTCCTGGGCCTCAACACACTGAGTCTTCCTCTTCAGTGTCACTGTTCAGCCTTGTTGAGGATGGCTCAAAGAGCCTTAGGTTTGCCAACCAGTTTTTCCACTCTCACATTTGTGAGCCTGTTGCGAACCTTTGTGTGGTCTCAATAGCCATGCAGTAAGCAGTGTGCTGTGGCATGTGGCGTGTGGCGCAGTGGACTAGTGCATTGGTGTTCGGATCAGGGGAGCACAGGTTCAAACCCCACTGCAGTCAGCATGTCGTTGTGTCCCTGAGACACTTCACCCCAAATGGCTCCTGTGGGGATTGCCCACAGTACTGAGTATGTAAGTCGCTTTGGATAAAAGCGTCTAACATGTAATGTAATGCATGGATATTGAAGTGTACTTGAATGACATCTGTTTGTTTTAGTCAAGATTATGCTAAAATATACTTTCCCCAACTATATTTAAGTTCCCTATGAAGAGCCAACCTTCAATTTTGAAAATTCCCGTTAATTCCCATGGAAAGTTTCCATCTTTGAAAATTCCCGGAATTTCGCAACTCTAATCAGCAACCAAGGTAACCCCCCCCCCCCCCACCTGATCACCTGAATGTCCTCCTAGAGCACCAATGTGTTCTTTTTAACCAAATCTCTCTCAGAGGGGCGTGGGGAGGGGCTCCTTATTTTCATCTCAAGTAACAGACAGAGAATCAGCACTTTGGAAACAGGGCTGAAACAGAGGGGATTATGGGTAATGCTGCAATGATCTGTTTGGTGTTTCAGCCAATCAGAGACAGGTTCTGTATATATCTGAGACCTGTAATATATTGATGAAAAACAGTATAAGAGGGGACCTTTAAGGCTTGATCAGTGAATGTTTAAAGTGCAGAGAGCCCTCTTGAGAGTCTGTGTTGTTGACAGCTTCTAGAGGTACAGGAAGTCGGACATGGCGGCCGGCAGATGTGTCATCAGCTGGACTCTGATCCACCAGTGCGGCTCCATCGGGTGGTACCGAGTGTACGGGCGTTTGGACATAATGGCGTCAGTGATGTCCTCCAGAACCGGAGACATGTCCTTCTGACCGTTGTTGGTGTTCGAGCGCACGTGAGCCATGACCATCTCAAATCGAGCTTTCCCATAATCCTCCTGCACGTGCGCCGGCGCCTCGCTCCACAGCTTGTCGGCCGTGTTGGCCATGCTCTCTCGGCTCATGATGCTCGTGGCCGGCATGAAGTTCCCCGGCTCCACGATGGACACTTTCACCCCCCAGGTCTTCATCTCGTAGCGAAGGCAATCGGAAAAGGCCTCCACGCCGTATTTGGAAATGCAGTACGGAGAACTCAAGGCGCCCCCCATCCTCCCCATCATGCTGGAGATGTTCACAACTCGACCTGAAGAGGGGAAAGTGTATATATGTGGGGAACAAACAATCTTGTTTTTAAAGTGATCCCATAGCGAGCAAAAGTACTCCATGATTATAAGTGTTTACTATGTCATTACTATGTATGTGTACCACTTATAGTATACTGTATGTGACCTGCGCTATCAAAATCAGTCACTTTGACCCCATTTTGAGTTACATACACTGTGGGAGAATAAGTATTTAACACAACACGATCACTGTTGAGACACAATTACGAGAAAAAGGAGATACAGAAACACTCAGGATGTCTTTCTGGATGTTTCTCTGAATGATGAAACAACTGAACGCAGCACCACCAGTAATAAGATTATGTAAAATAGTGCAACTTCAAACCTCGTAGCTTGTTAAGCATTCAGTTCAACTGTCAGAAGACATTTTTAACAACATCTCCTGGGACTATGCTCTACTTTAATACATCACTGTTTCCGTACTAATTAAAGTCTTAGACATTCAAAACACAGAAGACTAGCATTCATTGGTTTCTACATTATAATATTGGAGTTCTTCTCATTCACTGTTTTATCCAGTCAATTTTCTTTATGTGTTTGTATTCTGTGTTGGAATAGAATAGAATAGAATCCTTTATTGTCCTTATACAGGTACAATAAGATGAGTAGAGCCTTTTTTTAAGGTGCCATCAAAAAAACAAACGAGACGTACAACATTCAGGAGAAGACAACATACAAACAACAACATTCATACTTAATTGAAGCACTGTGTTAGCCATATTAAGTGCTATTGCTCCAACGCATTGTAGGTGATAGGCTAAGGCGGGACATCTCGAAGCAGAACATATTTAACATTTTGTTTTCCATCTCAGGCTTAATTTCTCACAGAAATCACGGGACACAATTTACGCACCGTTTACTTTCCAAGGGGAATTCTAAGAATGCTTATAATCCTTCATAGAGAAAATGGTTTGGTTGGCAGCTAAACAAACATTTTGGACAGTATTACAACTCATGTTAATGTGCCATACACTCTGATGTTATTTCCCCTGACCTTTGGCCTTGCGGATCAGCGGCAGAACAGCCTTGGTGACCCTGATGGAGCCCCACAGGTTGACCTCTGACACCTTCCTGTAGGTGTCCATGGAGATGAACTCGACTTCTCCAAATGTTGACACACCAGCGTTGTTAACCACAGCCCACAGACCTGGATCAGGAGACAGGGCGTTAAAGAGGATTTAAAGGTCACCTATAATCCACTTGTTCATGTCTCTTCTACATCAACATGTGTCCCCTCTTCTTCATGTCTCTTCTACATCAACATGTGTCCCCTCTTCTTCATGTCTCTTCTACATCAACATGTGTCCCCTCTTCTTCATGTCTCTTCTACATCAACATGTGTCCCCTCTTCTTCATGTCTCTTCTACATCAACATGTGTCCCCTCTTCTTCATGTCTCTTCTACATCAACATGTGTCCCCTCTTCTTCATGTCTCTTCTACATCAACATGTGTCCCCTCTTCTTCATGTCTCTTCTACATCAACATGTGTCCCCTCTTCTTCATGTCTCTTCTACATCAACTTGTGTCCCCTCTTCTTCATGTCTCTTCTACATCAACATGTGTCCCCTCTTCTTCATGTCTCTTCTACATCAACATGTGTCCCCTCTTCTTCATGTCTCTTCTACATCAACATGTGTCCCCTCTTCTTCATGTCTCTTCTACATCAACATGTGTCCCCTCTTCTTCATGTCTCTTCTACATCAACATGTGTCCCCTCTTCTTCATGTCTCTTCTACATCAACATGTGTCCCCTCTTCTTCATGTCTCTTCTACATCAACTTGTGTCCCCTCTTCTTCATGTCTCTTCTACATCAACATGTGTCCCCTCTTCTTCATGTCTCTTCTACATCAACATGTGTCCCCTCTTCTTCATGTCTCTTCTACATCAACATGTGTCCCCTCTTCTTCATGTCTCTTCTACATCAACATGTGTCCCCTCTTCTTCATGTCTCTTCTACATCAACATGTGTCCCCTCTTCTTCATGTCTCTTCTTCATCAACATGTGTCCCCTCTTCTTCATGTCTCTTCTACATCAACATGTGTCCCCTCTTCTTCATGTCTCTTCTTCATCAACATGTGTCCCCTCTTCTTCATGTCTCTTCTACATCAACATGTGTCCCCTCTTCTTCATGTCTCTTCTACATCAACTTGTGTCCCCTCTTCTTCATGTCTCTTCTACATCAACATGTGTCCCCTCTTCTTCATGTCTCTTCTACATCAACATGTGTCCCCTCTTCTTCATGTCTCTTCTACATCAACATGTGTCCCCTCTTCTTCATGTCTCTTCTACATCAACATGTGTCCCCTCTTCTTCATGTCTCTTCTACATCAACATGTGTCCCCTCTTCTTCATGTCTCTTCTACATCAACATGTGTCCCCTCTTCTTCATGTCTCTTCTACATCAACATGTGTCCCCTCTTCTTCATGTCTCTTCTACATCAACATGTGTCCCCTCTTCTTCATGTCTCTTCTACATCAACTTGTGTCCCCTCTTCTTCATGTCTCTTCTACATCAACATGTGTCCCCTCTTCTTCATGTCTCTTCTACATCAACATGTGTCCCCTCTTCTTCATGTCTCTTCTACATCAACATGTGTCCCCTCTTCTTCATGTCTCTTCTACATCAACATGTGTCCCCTCTTCTTCATGTCTCTTCTACATCAACATGTGTCCCCTCTTCTTCATGTCTCTTCTTCATCAACATGTGTCCCCTCTTCCTCATGTCTCTTCTACATCAGCATGTGTCCCCTCTTCTTCATGTCTCTTCTACATCATCATGTGTCCCCTCTTCTTCATGTCTCCTCTACATCAACATGTGTCCCCTCTTCTTCATGTCTCTTCTACATCAACATGTGTCCCCTCTTCTTCATGTCTCTTCTACATCAACATGTGTCCCCTCTTCTTCATGTCTCTTCTACATCAACATGTGTCCCCTCTTCTTCATGTCTCTTCTACATCAGCATGTGTCCCCTCTTCTTCATGTCTCTTCTACATCAACATGTGTCCCCTCTTCTTCATGTCTCTTCTTCATCAACATGTGTCCCCTCTTCTCTATGTCTCTTCTACATCAACATGTGTCCCCTCTTCTTCATGTCTCTTCTACATCAACATGTGTCCCCTCTGTGGAAAGAGACTCTGAAAGTTTCAGTAACAAAGATTCTCTCTCTTTTTGTCCTGATCCATTTATATAAAAACCTGTCTGAAAATGAGCTGATCAGATTTTGGCCACTTTATGATGTCATAACGATGTTTTGTCTTGTGTAACCATTAGCCAATCACCAACCAAGGTAACCCCCCCCCCCCCCCCCACCTTATCACCTGAATCTCCTCCTAGAGCACCATTGAGTTCTTTGTAACCAAATCTCTCTCAGAGGGGCGTGGGGAGGGGCTTCTTATTTTCATCTAAAGTAACAGACAGAGAATCAGCACTTTGGAAACAGGGCTGAAACAGAGGGGATTATGGGATGCTGCAATGATCTGTTTGGTGTTTCAGCCAATCAGAGACAGGTTCTGGATAGATCTGAGACCTATAATATATTGATGTAAAACAGTATAATAGGAGACCTTTAAAAAGAGGACTTATTGAATGATTTCCAGTACCTCTGTCTGCGTCCTCCAGGTTCTCTCTGATGTATTCCACAGCCTGGTTCACCTGCTCCTCACTGCAGACATTCAGCTGGACTACCTTCATGCGATCAGAATGAAACTCCTCCAGTTCCTTTGCACCCTCTCCTCCTTCGTCCTGCAGAGAAACAATGTTTTTTTTTTGTGTTTATTTACTTTTTGCCGCTTGCTTTTAACCTGGTTTTAACATGCAAGCCGACCGCACCAACTCTGCTATACAATATATCAGAGAGGAACTTCTTCACATCAGAAACTTTGTGGACAACAGCCCACCGACAGACAATGGTTACGCTATCTGTAGCGTGGTTCTACAAGCAAGTCAGTGAGTTCATGGGGTGGTATCAGAGAGTAAGGGTCTGTAAATGCAATGAAAACAATTGGCCACAGCAAATCATTTATATTAAAAATGTAATTTTTACTTTTGAATACTTCAGTACAAAGGATGTAAAAAGAGCCAGAATTCCCATCACTAACACTGTGTTTGTATAAAAAATAAAAAACCTTGAACCTTGTACCTTAAGCAAACATCCAGCATATACTGTGAAGCCAAGCTTGTGCAGATGTTTTGAAAGAGCACGACCGAATCCACTATCACAGCCTGTGACAAACACAGCTCTCCCCTTCACCTGCAGAGAGGGACACAATATAAAAAGGCTTATGTTATTTTCCCTACAAGAGGTATATAAAGATATTCAAAAAGACTAAATGAACACTGAAGTCAAATTGGTATCAAAGGTATATCATGTAATAAAAAGAAACTACTCACGAGGAAACAATTTCTATGCTCTGAACTGTATTACTGTTACATATTTTAGGCATATTATATTGTAATTTTGGTTTGATCTGTGAAAAAAGACATACTGGAGAATGGGTATAATCTCGAAAACACAAACGTTGTAGACATATCACAACAGAATATTATAACTTAGAAATTAATGAATTTCAGAGTCAAATTGCCATTGTACATATTGGACCTTTCCTGCCTGATGAAGTGGACTGTTTTTATTGAAAAGATTGTAACTGAGCAACTGTTGGACTTAAGAGTTGATGTGATTTCAGTAGGTCACAACAGCTGGTATGAATGTTTAAAACAAATGTTGTGGCAATTTAGCACAGGAAGAGAATGAAACACAAACACAGATATAGTTGATCAATTATTATTTCGTGGTACAACAATTAGGGCTGTGCGATTATGGCAAAAATCATAATCACGATTATTTTGGTCAATAATTGATATCACGATTATTAAATACGATTATTTATTGAACTTTAAAACAAATACAAATAATAATTTGAACAGTATCTTTTTAACTGTTGATTACCCTGAACGTGTAATTCAACTGAAAAACCAATACAAAAATAAATGAAATATTTACATTTAAATAAATAATGTAAAAATAATAAATAAACAAGATCAACAAATATTTTGGAGCACACTTCCCCAAGCTACTAAACATATATAAATGTGATAGATAAAAAATAAATGAGACCAAAATAAATTAGATCAAATATGTTGCAGTCACAACCTAGCAAAGCAAAATAATTGTTTTTTTCGATTATGTTGTTTTCGTAATTGTGGCAGGCCAAAATTGTAATTGCGATTAAAATACGATTAATTGCACAGCCCTGACAACAATCAATAATAACGAGGAAACATTACCTTGCACACAAGCAGTCATACAGTAATGCTCCAACCCAGTAGAAGTTTTACACAGACATATATAAGATTCTACAATGACGCACCCTCATTTTCTTTACATTAACTAACACACGACATCACCTGTGAATGCCATACTTTTTAGATATCAGAAGGTCATCATCTCATGACGTCTTTAGGAGTAATTAAAGGTGGGGTAGGTAAGTTTGAGAAACCGGCTCGAGATACACTTTTTGTTATATTCCATGGAATGCTCTTAACATCCCGATAGCAATGAATATCTTAAGTGCTTTGACAAAAAATCCAAAAATGTCATCTGTGGAAGCTGTAGTACTGTAAAAAGTACGACCAATCATTTTAGCCGGCCCGGCTAAAGTAACTGGATGGCCTACCTGCCTGTCAGCCTTCCATCTGTGCACAAACTTATCTCGTGCCCTCATTGGTCATGTGCGCGTTGGAGGAGGGGCTCTATAAGGAAGTGGCAGATTTTCTCCAGTTGTGTATTTTCAAATTCTAGCGATCTCGAGCCGGTTTCTCAAACTTTACCCTACTTTTAACTAACAAAGGCTTAACTGTTTTATAACCTGAGGCCCTTTCTGTACTTCTTCTGACCTTGGCATCCGCTCACTTGAAAAAAATGAAAATGAATACATCTATTGATAATTAGCAAAGAGACCATTTTCTCTCTAACTCTGGAAACTGAAATTCAATAACACACATGATATAGCTTACCATGTGATTAGCCATAAGACTGATATACACAATTGTTTCACCTTAAAAGGTGTTTTTAACAGATGTAATTTTTAACATGTTTATGTATAAAATACATGAAAAAGTGGTGTTTGCATAATAGGTCCCCCTTAACTAACCCTTGTGTGCAGACCCGGGGGGCCTCATGACACAATTTCGCTTAGGGCCCCAAGTTGGCCAGGGGCAGCCCTGATAACACACAATATCTTATGTCTTTTTTTATATTATATATTTCAACATACCAGGACTACTTTCTTTTAGTATTTCGACATTAAAAAAGGTTTTGACATACAATACCATGACATCTCACATCATTAAACCTGTGTGAGCATTATTACTACTATTGTGGGAAAAGTACTTCATTTAAGGGCTGGTCTCCGTGCTTGACATACATTCATTTTCTTGTTGGGAATAAAACTCTATACATCACCTCCACCAATCCTCTTGGAATCCGAGGCGTCGCCATGTACAACACAAAAAGTAAATAGAGCCCCACGATGCACTCGGTCACGCTGCTCTCCGGTAGTCCCAGCACCCGGGTCCCGGTGTTCAGCAGAGCCGGCAGCCCGAAGCCCAGCAGCACCGTCAGGAGCACGGAGAACGAGACCAGGAGAGCCGCTCTGAGCACAGGGAGAGGAGCCATCGTTCCACAGTGAGGTTTAATAATGAATACTTTCTGAGGAAGCAGTCCAGTCCATGTATGCAGACAGGCCACGCCCCCTGTGTGACGTCACCCGGCGGTACGTTATTACATTCCCGGAAAATGTGTTTGGAAATAAAAGTTTAAAAGCATGCAAGAAAATGCCTAACGCTGCACAAAAAGGAAACTTGCTTAAGATAGGGTAAGCTGTGTGCAAGAAAGACGATTAGGGAAATGCGTTCTATTGCTAAATAAGCGGTGTGATGTAATATTATAGTACATTGTAATAGTACACATTCCAGACTTGCAAGCACAAGTCTCACTGATGGGATTTTGAGCCAAACAGGAAGTGCGCAGCATGGAAACATTTCTCAGGAACAATCTGAGTCATAATACTGAGCAATAATGTGTCTGATCTGACTAAAATAATGTGATTTACTAAAGCAGTTCCATACTCCCTGTACGTGTGTCTGTGTATTCATCATTTAAAAACACATCTACAAATGATTTTATGCATTAATTATGTTCCCTCCTGTACGCTGCAGAATAGCAGCCTTTTGGCTTCCTTTGCTAAATAAAATCATACATATTTATAACCTGAACTCTGACAGAAGAAGCTATACTGGTTTTGTTTTGAAAATATATGCAATTCTGTTCAAATTTGCATAAAGAGCCACGTGGAAACAGCTGTGTCCGGAATGTCGTGAACTACAGCTGGCAGTTGTGTATGCCTGTTTCTATAGTAACGTTAAATGACTCTGCAGCGCCCCCTATCGAGATTATCTTGCACTGCAGCTAATACAAGCATCTCTATGCTTACCAATTATCAAAATGTGATTAAAAGTGGGCACAAACACCGTTAATCTTTCCTCTGAATAAGCCTCTGCCTGCAGCTCATTGCATAGTTTCTGTATCCTGGAGAACACATTGCCCAAATAAAGTATAAAACAGGTATAATCTCACAGATATACTTATGTTTTGAGGCCTATACTCTACAGATAAAAAGGTGTGATGGCAGTGCAATACGAGTGTACATATGGGTGTAACAGAGCTAACATGGGTGTACTGTGGATGCAGACACTGGCAGGCTGAACAAGCTCGTGAGGAAGGCTAGCTCTGTAGTGGGAGTACAACTGGACAATCTGGAGGAGGTGGTAGAGGGGAGGGCGATGAGGAAGCTCGTAAGCATCCTAGAGAACCCCTCCCACCCACTCCATGCAGAGCTAGTGAAGATGAGTACGTTCAGCCAGACTCATCCCTCCACAACAACGCACCAAGCGCCTGGGACAGTCCTTTGTGCCTGTAGCCATCAGGCTGCACAACAAGGGGTCAATAATGAAAAAGAAATCAAATGAAATCACTGGACATGAATATACACTGTTTCCACAACCCATGTTAATATATTAGTAGTAGACCAAATATGTTGATAGATATGTCTATATATATGTACAGATGTACATTTTCACTTTACCTCATTCCGTACTTCATAATTTAGATGACCAAATATATGCTGACAGTTATTTTACTCTTATTTTTACTCATCTCCTATTTCATAGTCTTTTATTATCATTAGTTTAATTTCTTTCTTGATTTTATTAATGTGTGAATCTTTGCGGTCCTGTTTTTTCACGCTTACCCTGTTGCTGTACAACTGAATTTCCCCACGGGGATTAATAAAGGTCCATCTTTATACATGTGTAAATATGTGAGTAACATGCATGTAATGTCAATATGGTGGTGCAATGTGTGTACAATTGGTGTAACAGGTGTTGCATAGGTTCAATACAAATGTTGACACTAAATGGCGAGATACAGGGTGTTTCTCAATCGCGAGTAAAGCTGCTGCAGAGCCACTATTTCAAGCATACGTCATCGAGTGCCGCCGAAGTACTGTTCCAATCTCCAGCATACTTGGAAATCTACCGAGCCCGGCGTACTTCGTTAGGAGAAATTTCGAGGCTGCACACGAGGAGACTCCGCGGTCTTAAAATCCCCACAATGCTTTGCGCACGGACCAATTTCCCCAAATCTGTGGCGGAAAATGTAAGGCGGGGCCTCTCATATGACGCACACCTGCACACTTGCTAGCCTGTTCCACTCTCAAATGTCAGGAAGTATTCTTGACTCGCTTCTGAAGCAAGATGCTCGGCCTACATGTGCTACCAAGCAAGTGTACTCGCGATTGAGAAACACCCACAGAGTGTAAGATGGAAGAAAGTCACATAAGAAAAAGAACTTTACATTTTCCAAAGTATTTTCAGTTGCTTGCCTATTTGAGGGTTAAGAGAGAATCTGTGTCCGAACATGTTTGGTATGCACACCGTAGGGGTTTAATATCTGTATAAAAACAAAGCCCACTCCCAAAACCTCCCAGAGACATAGCCATAACTTGTAATGTTTTTATTTATTCCAGATGAGATTTTAAATGGTACAAGTAAAACTCAGGAGTAAAAAAAAAAACATGATGTCCTACAGAAAAGCTGAAAGTGAAGAAAAGATGAGATGACGGCATTATAGAGCAAAACACAAGGCACTGAGGATCTAGTCTACGGCTAAACCACCGTCCTGTGGCCTTCAGACGTGCTGTAAACATATCTTTGTGTAGGCTGTCTCCATGTTAAATCATGAGAAATAAATGGGAGAGAAGGAGAAATTAATGCTCTGGAGATGAATAGGAGTCTGCATGGTGTAAAAAAAGAAAATCATTAAGAATAAGTGACTGCTGAGATACAAAACGCTGACTTCAACTAGTGTTAACATATCCTAGAAGAGCATTGACATGAGAACAGATTTTGCAAAATGGACATTGCAAGTACCTTCAAATGGATGTTTTACTGTCCTGCTTGTCTTCACAGTGTAACAGCACAGATACATGTCGCAGGGTAATAGACAGTATTGCATAGATAGACAATAAAGAATATTTCACTTTCCCCCAGTAGTATCAATGCTGGTGGAGCGAGAGACTCATTCAGGTCGAGAAACAGCTATGAATTACAGATGCGAGGTCTTTTACAGTATTTATTTGTTTTTTTGAATGACCTGTGGTGACAGTAAACTGCAAGTGCTCGTTTGAGATCTCAGTTCTTTATTTGAGAAAAGAATCAAGCTTTTTCTTGATATTGTCAAATGAGTCCATTCCCAAGTAGTCTGCCTGGCCTTGCTCCCATTTCTGCTTCCGCTCTTCTGAGGACATTCCCGGTGGGATTGCGTGATCAAACGCAGGGCAACTCCCATCCTGAGAAAGAAACACATACATATTAGACAATAGTGAAACAAAGAGCATGAAATGTTATCAATCAATAGCACAGAACACAACCTTTGCAGCTTTTTAAAAAGCACTGAAGCTCTTCTACATTAATGGCCAAAGCCAAACACACACGAAGCTCGGATTTTAGAGGAGGAATGGTAATAGCATTACAACCAGGAGCCAAAACTGTTATCGGCTGCTAGTCCACAAGAAGAAACCCATCAGTATCACCATACCTGCACACTCTCAATAGTGATCGTGTCACAGGGCGGGGACTTTACGAGATGAATATGAAGGAAGAGAGGATAGACGTATACCATCCAGAACAAAATACAGAAGTTAACATTAAACAGGGGGGAAATAACACACAGTATGTGACACAAAACACATGTAACAAATATAGTATAGCTTTTCCCCACTTTATGCAAGCAACACATTTTTCCAATAGAGCTGGACAAACAGGAAACCATGGTGTGCGTGTAGAAGGGCTGAACTGTTAGATTTGGATACGTAATACTTTGGAAATCCACAATCCCTTTGGTGTTCTGGTTCTTATTAGCGTGTACTTTGTTCTTATTAGCGTGTACTTGGTCACGCATTTAACAACACATAACAGATCTATTCATTTCCCTGCAAGCTAGCCATATGGAAACTGACACTTCACCTCAGCCACAACGCAGACTAAGTATAAATCTTTCCCTAAATTGTAAAAACCTTAAACAATGCACGAAAACCAAGTGGAAAGCTGTTACAGAAAAAAATCTAAAGCTTATAAGAATTTTGAGAACAAGTTTCAGATCAAGATCATTATATGAATGCACACAATATCTGGTTTGCTTACTGCACATATTTGATAGGTTATTGCATTCTATTTCAATGTAAATTACTGCTTTAATTTATTTCTTGTTATTATAGGGTTCTTAATATAGTTCCCCCATCTGTGTTTTTTAAAATTTTTGTTTAACTTTTATGTATGCACCACGAGACCAAGTCAAATTCCTTGTACGTGTCAACCGACCTGGTGATTTCTGATTACACTACAAAAACTTGAAATCTTGCCCAGTATATTCGTCTAATATCTAGTCAGAACATGTCTAGTCAGAATATGTCTAAGACACACTAACTTCAGAAGTAACACTGCAGTGAGATATCGGGTCTTGTTTTTAGACAATGCATCATCTTGTTAAGTCAAAACATCTTATTTTGAGTCGTATCTCAGATGAAACGCATACATATTTATTAGAAAATCACCAACTAACATCAGAAAACTTTTCATGATTCTGGTGAAACATAGTTCAAAATGAGTTCTCCAGCTAATTACAAGATCTGATTTATCTAAATATCCCTTCTTATTTCAAGACATCTTACCAAGCACATTTTCACTTGTTCTATTGGCAGATGTTTGTACTTATTTCAAGTGAAAACAGCTTATTTTCAATATTGTTTAACGTGTTTTTGGAGCAGCATTTTGTCCAGTGTAAGTGATGGCAACTTCTCATCACATCACCCATGAACACAGCATTAAAACATATTTTCCTTCACCTCCACACATCCGGAGAAGAAGGGCTGGTCTCCGTGCTGCTCCTGCAGCATGGGCACCACGGTGCGGGAGTACAGGCTCCACCAGTCCAGCAGGAAGGTGGAGTGTGTGGTGGCGTCGTGCGCACTTCCTGTGATCTGTCTGGATTTGGTGTCGTACGTGTAGCTCCACGGCTTGGTCTTCCCCAGGAAATGCACCACCTTGGCATTGCCACCATATCTGAAATGAGATGTCTTTTTATTTTGGATGAATTGGTCGTCTCATTTAAATGATAGCTAGTCATTCGGATTCAGAAAACATTATCCAGTCATTTTTATGATGATGAAACAGCCCCACACTTAAAACAAGACTAACTTTTCTAACCGCTTTTGACTTCAACTAGCTACAAGTAATGATAAACTCTTTTTGAAACTACACATTGTACATGTCTAAGGGGGCAGGACATCTCTAAGCAGGTTGACCAATCACAACAGAGCCGGCCAGCTAACCAATCAGAGCAGACTGGGCTCTATTTTTCTCATACTCTGTCTGAAACCAAAGAGCTTTTTGAACATTAAAGCATGGAGACATGTCACAGTAGAGACACTAAGAGCATACTAGCGACCCTTTAAGGTTTCACAGTGTTTTTGTCATGGTATTATCCTGCTTGTTATTATAAACCCCGCCAACACTTACAGATACACATTTCTTCATAGATTGGCAAACTGCACATGTACAGGAATACATCAGAATCAGGCCCTGGGGAGGGTTGTTTTCTTGCGTTTGCCAGACCTTTAACTACCATCGTTGACAACAAACAAGCAAGCACACGCTCATCAGATGCCAGAAAATGTCAAACTAAGAGCTTGTTGGTGAGGTTTGTTGCTAAGGAGGCGAGGGGTTTAGAGGCACGATGTGCACAATGCCCAGTCCTGAAGGAGGGGGACATAAAAAAAGGTCTCCAAATACACTGCTCTATTTTAGGATTTAGTTTCAGCTGTTGGAGCTCAGGGGGGGATATCAGACCCAGAGCCCTGCTGGGCGACGCTGCTCATCTCGCTCGTAACCCGATGACGTCATGATGTGACTTCATGTGGTCCAGTGTCTACTTACAGATTGGCTTTGCATCCATTAAGCATGATTTCAGCCACAGACAGACGCTCTGCTGTCTCACTGGAGCAGCTCTTACTACAAACACACACTTACTGCTTAAATGCTGGAAGGTAGGTGTAGATGGCGATGCTGCTCAGGTTGTAGATGAAGGGGAGGTGTTTGGATATGTCAGCTGTTGACCAGTCGTTGAAGAAGCTGTTCAAAACCCCCTGGTCTCCTCCTGAGAGAGAGAGAGAGAGAGAGAGAGAGAGAGGAACATCAACACACAGTATGCAGAGAGTACTTAACAGTTCCCTGGCTAATCCCCACATGGGTGACGAGTTATTCTTCTCATTAGACAAGGATTGATGCCTGCCATTTGCTGACTGATACTATGCTTGTTGCAAAGACAGACTCTGCTTAGTAACACCAGAAGCCTTTCAACAGGCTGTGGTGTCATAGCCTGTAAATAGATAGCAAATGTAGTTTAATTGCTCCATCATAGTTGTGTCAAGTAATGCCGTTAAATGGTCAAACTGTAAAGTGACATACAATGGATTTGTACAACTAATGCAATATAAAAACCTCTAAAATACAAGTACATTAGCTTTTTCGTTAGTGTAGTTGTAGTCTCTATGATAGCTAAATGATAAAGCATCACCATGTTAACTTGCTAGCTGCTAACTTTCTGTCACTGGACACATTGCTGGACAGGTAGCAGACAGTCCGGGTATCAGAGCTTTTTCACAGAAAACATCCGCTAACCGTGTCAAAAGCTAGTGAAACCATAGTGTATTCAAGAGAAGTAATCCGTTCAATCTGCAGTTTCAAATATGTAGAGCACATTAAAGCATTAAGTGCTATTTGAGACACACATACTTAATGGTGAAAGCAGATATTGGGCTGCATGTGACGCTTGTTCCTATGCAGAAACTCAGTACTACAGTTTCAGGAAGGTTTCACATCCCAAATACTGCAAGTCTTTATCCGTAGTGTGAACATGTTGGGAAAAGTCTACGGGTAAGTAACGGGTCTCTTTAGAAATGCATCTTATGAAAGTGTCTGACAGGTTTAGCACATGACTGGATGGCTCCTTTGAAAAGCTGTGAGAGACTTTAATGAAATGATCTGTGCTCCTTCGACGGCCAGATTCATTAGAGTTCCCGCTGACACCGCTCCATTAGTCAGCAGATTTCTAAAATCAGTCCAGAGACATACTGGGAGAGAAATGCTCCCACACATTCAGAACATATAGGGTTTACTACCTTTACACACTGCTGGGGTCATTTAAAAAGTATCTGACTTAGTAGTAGAGTAAGAACTGAATAAGTTTCCCTTCACTTGGTTTTTACAATCCCATCATATGACGCCTTTCAGTACAGTGTTGATCGTAGTGTCTGTACAGAGCGTTACAGGGCAGGATGTGCTGAACACGCCTGACACATGTGAGTTAGTGTTGACACTCTACTCTCCTCTGGAGGAAAAATACCACGGATCATTGTGTTGGAGGGCCAAGGGGTATATAATGCATGTATATAGAAAGCGTAGGTTCTCTGGCTGATCCACACAAAGTGAGGAGTTATCTTATATTTGAGAAAGATTGATGCCTGCTATGTGCTCACTGACACTCGGCTCATTTTAAAGTCAAAGTCAAAGAGACACCAAAAACCTTTACAGTTGTAGTGTCACAAATAAATGTATGTCTAGTAGAGACAGTGTCCTAATGTTAAAGGTGGGGTAGGTAATTCACTTCAGAAACACGTGTTATATTCCATGGAATGCTCTTAACATCCCGATAGCAATGAATACATTAAATGCTTTGACAATAAATACATAAAAAAAAAAAAATGTAATCTGTGGAAGCCGTGGCGCTGTAAAAAGCACGACCAATCATCTGAGCCGGGCCGGCTAAAATAACTGGATGGCCTACCTGCCTGTCAGCCTTCCATCTCGTGCACAAACTTATCTCGTGCCCTCATTGGTCATGTGTGTGTGTTTGTGTGTTGGAGGAGGGGCTCTGTAAGTCTGAAGGAAGGGGCAGATTTTTTCCAGTTGTGTACTTTCAAAATTCTAGCGCACTCGAGCTGGTTTCTCCATTCTTACCGAGCCTACCTTTAAAGCAACACAGCTCAAATGTGTTGCTCAACATGCAGTACAGTAAGAGAAACTGTGGATCTGCACATTAAATGTATCACTAACACCATGTGGTCTTTCTAATTCTTCACCAATGCACTAGTCAAAACCTCTATGAAGAGCTGTAGCAGAGGACGCACTAGGGCTGGAAAGTATTTGATCCTGATACAGCATGTTTCCTAGATAAATGAAATAATGAAGAAAATTCTGCCCTCTGCTGTTGGAAAGCAATACTCACAATGTGTGGGATTTAATGTTATTATTCTCCTCCATTACCAAGCAGTGAAAACCGTGTTCTGGGGTAGTGGACCCTGAAGGTTGGAGAAGCTTGGGACTTGTATATTGCCAGTTGTAATGAAGTTTAGGCGAGTTAAAACCAGATTGAATAGAGTTTCAAATCTGGAACCGACTAAAAAAAAAACAGACTCATAATGACTATTCATTGGTCCTAAAGTCCTTGGATTGATACTGGCACACGATGAGATGTTGGCCTTAAAGTTCCTAAAAAGCACAGAACTGTACAGTTTGTGAAACCGCACGCTGCTGCAGTTTTAAATAACACGCATAGCTGGTGTTAGTCTGAACCCACAACCTCTGCGGAGACTTTTCAGAGGCTTCATTTTGAGGGGATGAGCAGGGCTCTGAAAGAATGTGCATCTGACCGAGCCAGCTTGTGTTGGCAGCGGCGAAGTCCAGAGCCTCCGGGTTCAACCTCTGAAATCATTTTCCTGTTGTCTTTCCTCAGCTATTTTTCAATATCATCCAGAGAGCTGCCCGTGTACATTATGTCTTCCTTATAGCAGAGTGGAAATGAAATGCTAAAGGTCAGAGCGACTTCAACTCATGCCCCAGTGCACATGAAAGACCATCACGGCTATAAATAAGACTGCTCGACTCTTAGCATGCCACAGGCACACAGACGCTTACATCCTACAGACATTCTGGATGTTAAAACTGAAATTAAAACACAATTACCGCCTCACTGTTTACTGGATCCAGTTAAGTTGAGTTTACATCCTTATCTGTACTCTAGACTCATAATATAGGAAATGGAGATTAAAGGAATTTAATAAAGAGGTATTAAGTGTGTATTTTGGGGAAATGGAAGTCATTATATGGACATGTTTGATACCGAGAGTTGCCACAAAAGAAAATTGCCAAAGAACTACAAACAATGTCTTTTGTCTGGGATTGTGTTGAATTATAGCCAGGATCATTCGGCACTTGAAAGCGTTGGCAACGATTGAGCAAACTAATTGGTTCTCCGATGGACTCTCGCTGACGGATTGTTTTTAAAAGTGTCAGAAAACAAAACTGCTTGTCATTTTAAAATGTTAAAAAAAATCTTCACAGCCTCCAACAAGGACGAGCCCGCTTTGAGTCTCATCCGGTTCTGTTCATTTACTTTGTTTCGGGGCTTTTTCAGCGCCCTGAGGAAACAATGAGTTTGGTCCGAGTCCAGACGTCCACATCTCACGCTCTCCAACGCTGAATGGAGTTATCCGTTGCTCTCGTCCAATCATCATCAAGTACGACGGTTTGGTAACAAAATCATGCCCTTAAATTGTGGTTAAACGCTAAAAAGTACTTTACTACATTTCTCATTTAAAAACACTTTGTTTCACACCCTTCTTTTAAAATGGCATTACAGAAGCAGAGCTACGAGTTCAGGCAAAGTACTAAACTATTCACACTTTTACAAACATAATAAATCTAATATCTATTCGTAGAGTTATTCATGTCCCAATTTATGGTTGTGCTTCGTACTAAAGTTCTTACTATTCTCAGCGAAGGTGACACAATTATTAGAAGTGTTTAATGAAGCTTAATGTGAATGCACGTCCTCATGGAAAAAGATTGACTGGATTCTTCTTCCAAAAATGGCAATGGCTGAATCAAGTGTGAAGATTCCAGCTGTGCAAAAACTAGTTGGACTTTTCCTGTTAATCCAAAGTGATAAATCTGCATTATATAAGAACAGCAGCAGCAGCCCACACGTATGAACTAATGATCTTTCCAGGGGCGAGTTGAGCTGAACCTGATATGAAGCCAAGGGGAAGACCACAATTCAGTTACAGTACGCCTCTTAGAGAGGAGCTGCTGAATGTCAAACAGTCCCCGTGCAAAACCAGGCCTCTCAAATTTAGCTTGCACCCCCACCCCTCACCGAGCCCCTGAGAATAACTCAGAGAGGGACAGTCGGTGACAGGAGGGCCTTGTGTCTGGGCTCGATAAAAAGCCGTACTTAGAGCTAGATAAACAAGCTCCGTTTAACTTCACGATACCAAGAACTCAATGTTACCCAAGGCTGGTCAGACCCTCAATGTGTGAGCACTGAAACAAGACTTCAAAGTGGTGGTAAACCAGAAATAGCTACCATTCTAGGCATATTAGATCCTTTCTTGTGATGCATTTGGCAAAAAATGTGATGAGTCTTTTTTAAGAGAAACTTCAGATGCCACAAATATTTGTCTTAGCCAATACCAACAAGCAGAACAACTTTTAAGGATAACTGAACATGGGTAGATCCATTTAAAAAGAGGTTGGAAATATCTTTGGAAAATGGCTGGAAACAGCGAGCGTAGGGTTAAATTAAACCGACCAATCAGCACACATACATTTTGTTAGTTAAATTCATACAAAAGCCAATAGAAAAGTCAGGTTATAATTTTTTAAGGGGGGATTTTTAGTCAGCACTTTCATGGATATTATAATCCATCCTAATTTTAAGTAAAGTAGGGATGCAACTTCTCCATATAACTGATTAAACTACATTTACCGAGTATTTTCAATTCCTAGTTCAGTCTGTGATTGGTCGACCGCTTAGAGATGTCCCGCCCCTTAGCCTATTCTATCACGTACAATGTGTTGGGAGTGCTAGCCAATAGAAGCGTAGTGATGTCACTGTTATGGAAGTAAACAAAGTAAAATGGTGGTGTTTCAGGCAGGGGGGAGTGTGAGAGAAAGAAACCTTTGAATTCAAGCCTTTGCAGTAAAACCTATATAAAAAAAAAACACACTACAGGAAATGGGAAAACTCCTTAAAAGCAGAATATGGCCTCTTTAACTAGCCGTTTCTCCCGCAGGTAGCGACGAAACTCGCAGGGAGCAATGAGAAAACATTGCGTCATGTGAAAAGTCTTCTGGACTCACCGTCGAAGCTGCCGTGGTCTGTGCAGTGCTGGAGCAGTTTGCCGTAGGTCTCCAGAGAAGGACGGAAAACAAACACACCGGAGTTGAAGCAGTCGGGCCAGCCGGGGTCAGGAGCCGCCGACAGCTCCTCTCTGTTGAACAGCTCATCTATATTTGAGAGCACCTAGGATGCAAATAGACAATAAATATTAGCAGTACACCACCTTGAATTCTTCTTACTTAAAAGGTCACCTATCATGCAAAATCCACTCCCTCATGTCTCTTCTACATCAACATGTGTCCCCTCTTCTCCATGTCTCTTCTACATCAACATGTGTCCCCTCTTCTCCATGTCTCTTCTACATCAACATGTGTCCCCTCTTCTTCGTGTCTCTTCTACATCAACATGTGTCCCCTCTTCTTCATGTCTCTTCTACATCAACATGTGTCCCCTCTTCTTCATGTCTCTTCTACATCAACATGTGTCCCCTCTTCTTCATGTCTCTTCTACATCAACATGTGTCCCCTCTTCTTCATGTCTCTTCTACATCAACATGTGTCCCCTCTTCTCCATGTCTCTTCTTCATCAACATGTGTCCCCTCTTCTCCATGTCTCTTCTACATCAACATGTGTCCCCTCTTCTCCATGTCTCTTCTACATCAACATGTGTCCCCTCTTCTCCATGTCTCTTCTACATCAACATGTGTCCCCTCTTCTCCATGTCTCTTCTACATCAACATGTGTTTTGGCTTGTGTAACCATTAGCCAATCAGCAACCAAGGTAACCGCCCCCCCACCTTATCACCTGAATCTCCTTTGAAACAGGGGGGATTATGGGATGCTGCAATGATCTGTTTGGTGTTTGGGGCCAAACACTTCAGAGACATGTTTTGTATACATCTGAGACCTATACTATATTGATGAAAAACAGTATAATAGGGGGCCTTTAAGGAAGATTCAGTGTGAGCCTCACCAGTGTGTCTGCGTCCATGAACACACACTTGGAGTAGTGTGTGAGGGTCCAGCAGTGCAGTTTGGTGAAGGTGACGCCCAGTTCGGGCCTCTTCATCATGGCCAGGTGTGCCGTGTCTCCGCTGTCCAGAACGTCCACCTCCCTCACCTCGTCATAGATACTCTTCAGCACCGCCCTGATGATTCACAACAATACAGAATGAATCTCCATCAAACATCCAGGTGGGAAACAAGGCTTTACAGGAACACCAATGAGTGGGATTTAGGGTTTTTGCAGCGATGGTTGGAGGTTAAGTTACTTACTTGCAAGGCTCTGACATCTGTGGACCGATGAGAGCCACCAGCTTCTTGGATGTGTTGTGGTTGCGGAGGGACTTTCCCAAAACCATGGCTCCACGAGCATAGTTGTCATTGGTAGCCAACGTCACAAAAGCCTGGTCTGCAGAGGCAAGAAGAGGAGAGGGTTATTATCATAAGCAACTGATGGTTATTGAAGTAAAATAAATGCTAAATGAAATGTTCAAAAAGGTTTGCAATATAGTTTGGGCTGCATCTTTTGACGGTCATTTAAATAAGATAATTGGATGGTGTTAGAAATTTAAATCAATGTTTTATAGCATAATTTTGTCTAAAACATACCGTCAGTTTAAAAACTGTTTTATTCTGAAAAACCCGGAAGTTCTCATAAAATCTCAATGCCAAGCTTTTATTCTGAACATCTTTCATCTCCGGTTAGCATTTAACATGTGGCTAATATTACGTTTTCTAGAAATGTGAATGTAAAGTGAAAATGACACTTACTGATCTTAACACTACACCAGTCGAGATATTATAATTGCTGAATATTAAATGAAGGTACAGTTTATTCTAATAAGTTCTGTTGACAGAAGTAGGTAGAGATGACGACTTCCGGGACTACAGTAAATGAGAACTGCTGAAAAGCACTTCTGGTATTACTAAAGTGTCTATTTACAGCCGTTATAATGCATTAAATAAAAAGTCATGAAAGAGAGTATGAGGAGAAGAGGTGTGTGGAGTTATGCAATGAATGTACAACGTCTGAATCCTCTGTTATGTGCGAAAACGGACATTGAAGACGACCCCCAGCAACGCGAACCAGCCCTCGAGGAGGAGCCTACGGGGGGGATATAACCAGCTGACGAGGATTGTCTCGGGACCTTCTTGACCCCTTCACCCCGGCGAGGCAACAGCTGCTCTGTCTCTCCATCTTACCCTCTGCTTGTTGTATCACCGTGCCATTTAATTAAAGTAACCAATTTGAACCTTTCCGGAGACTCCATTAGTCTCTTCATTCTAAGCTTCTCTCCTGGGCGCGAGAACAACAAATACTTCTAACGATGGTAGACTTATCTCATCTTAGAAAAGTGGGTCCAGTTTAAAGATTTTCTAACTTTTTCTACTGATGTTTTTGCGCTGTCTTCTTGGGGAAATTGCAAATATTTTTACAAAACCCAACAAACGGGTTTCAAAAGGTACAGCATGCAAGTCCATAAATGCGAGTAGGAAATTATCGAGATCCAGTTGAGATAAAGCAAATAGCAATGATTTCATATCTTCAATGTTTGGCCTGCAGTAGCAAAACACTTCTACTTGAGAAAAAAGCCAAAAACTAAAAGCAAATCTTTAGCAATTTAAATTCCCAAAAGGTTCACAAGATTAATGACAACTGCCATTTTAAGGACTCAAAAACAAGCTGAATTAGCAATATATCCTCCCCTAAATGCGAGAATTCTCACTTGTTCAAAGAAAAAGACTTCAGTACAAACAGTCCCAGATTAAAAGTCTCATTAGGTGAATTTTATTTGCAGTGTGGTGCCGACTCTGTGCCTCCACCTCTGATGGCAGGGAGGAAAGAAATGTGTCAGCTACCTGCCAACTCAGAACAATGACTCGCCTGTGAGACGACATATTAAAACCCAATGATGAAATGTGCTCGGCAGCTGGAGAGCTTGTGTGACTTTAGCATGCGGGCCAACATCAATCCCACTTGGATTGTATATCAACCACTTAGTACTGTACTGCCAATAACGGGCAACACAAGTAAGACAGTATACAGTATACAAATGTTGCCAGGAAAAGTGGCTCTGCTCCCTTTCTGCACCACACCCTTTCTCTCACACCCCCTTTTCAATTGGTACAAGAGGCTCTGCAGTATAAATTCATGTAGCCTGACATGAATCATTAAAAAAATAGCTCAACCATAGCCTATAGGATGAGTGGATGCACACACACCCCTCTATTTCCTGCAGTAACGCCACAAATGGGATTTAGGCAATGCAGAATCCAGAGTACTCAGATCTTGTACTTGAGTTAAAGTAGAAGTACAAGAGTGTAGGAATACTCTGTTAAAGTCCTGCATTCAAAATGTTACTCAAGTAAAAGTAGAAAAGTATTATCATCAAAATATAGTTAAAGTAGCGACAGTAAAAGTAGTCATTGTGCAGATTGGTCCATTTCAGAATAATATATACGATATGTTTTATAATGATTGATCATTAAAGTGTTCTCAAAGCTGGTAAAGGTGCAGCTAGTTTGAATGACTTTGTATACTGCAGGGTAGCTTGTGGATTTACTTTACTACATGTAGTGGAGTAAAAGTACATGATTTAACCCTGAATGGTAGTGGGCTAGAAGTTTACACCACGGGCAGAATCCAGACACAGGAGCACAGGGTTTCCAAAACTGATGTCCAGGGACTGAAAGGGATCCAAATAGACCCCTACCAAATGAGTTATCTTTACTTGTTGTCATTCATTCAAAGTTAAAGATGCAAGCCAACAGTTTTGTTCGTTTTCAGACATGTTTCATTTGACTTCAAAACATGCAACTGTTTTTTATCTGACATGACAACACAGTTAGCTGCTGGGGACCCTGTCATTAATAGCTCATATCTGATAACATGTTTCATATATGGCCGACAGCTTCACGCCTGGCAGTCAGCAGGTCGCTTTGACACACAGATGGAGACACAATGTACTTTTGCACATTGAAATTCTGCCAACTTCCATGGGCAGCTGCTGCACAAACATTAAAACCAAACAACACACAACTTTATCGACCGACAAACATTTCCACAAAGCTAGACGCTGATTTTAAACACAACCAAAGTGGGACAGGCTTTGAAAAACTTCACAGAAACACGTTTTAGCATCAAGTTAGCTTCACGAAAACACACAGTAGCGGCTCTGAAATGTTTAAATGTTACATACCAGCCATGACGGAGAGGTAGAAGCTACTTTGTAGCCTGGACTCGAGCACACAGCTGCTTAACGTGGAGGAAAAAGGGCTGAGTGAAAACACAGAGGTGGATTTATACCAGCATGGAGCAGCGTCATGTGACACACCCACCTGCTCCAAAACGAGCCTGCTCGCCCCCCAGCAGGTCAGGGGGTTCAACTATTCACAGATTCACAAAGTATTTAGACACATGCATCATTTTGAACTGTTAAAACACTTTAAATTCTTCTTGTGCACGTGTTGGAAGTGTAAGTAGTGTTTTCAAGTGGAGTAAAAGTGAAAAGAATCCCCTCAAACTAACCTTTGCTTTTACATAATTAACATTCCTGTCTTTCTGCAGCCTTGACCTTTCAGACAACTGCTGCCTTGCCTGGTGTCATCTTTACTCTCGATGACAATGATGAGATGTTGGTGATGCTGTAACGAGAGGCTGAGATCAGGAACAACATGTTCCATATTTTAGATTTGGTGTTTTGTTGCCATCTTGTGGAGAAAAGGCAGGACAGCAGGACAGCGAGGAGACAGCAGCTCTTTGTGCTGTGTTACACAACAGATACTTATTTTTAGTGGTCCCAGCAGAGCTCTAAAGTTAATCTGGGATCAAGTGGTGTGCTGGACATGGATGTTATACTAAGAGGAGACTTAAGTATATTATTTGAGTTCAACCGAAGACAATTGAGGTGATTCACATATGGGATGTTCTCTTAAAGAAGCCCTATTATAAATGTTGGGGCTTCCCTGTCCTGTAGTGTGTTCTTTAGGTTTGTGTGCATGTAAATGGTCTGCAAAGGCTAAAATCCCAAAGTTATTTCTTTTGTTTTACTTTCAGAAGAGCAGTAATCTTCTCCGACACATTTTATGCGATAGTCTAGCAGAGGGAGAGAGCAAAGATTAGCCTACATAAACTTTGGATAAGCCTATTTATTAACGCCTAACGACGCTTTAATATTAATACTTCTGATGGCACTCAATCTGTCTTCTTTATAGCACTTTTAAACCTTGTTGGCATTACTCTAATCTTCCCACTTCGTTTGTGACTAATAGTTGTGTTGGAGAAATACTGTTTTCTCCACTCTTTGGGTTGTTTTAATGCACTGATATCATGTGTGGCTCTGAGACGTGTACGGCCTTGCAGCTGCCTCTTTATGATAACAGAAGGCAGAGCATTTCAGGTTGTTGTTCTATTCTGAGGAGACAGGCACATATTTGTTGTCTCCTATATTATCTCACAATGCTGGGAGTCCAGAAGTCGCAGATGACCCATCCAGTTGTCCCATCTTCCCGACACCTCGTTTTACGGCTTTGCTTTCCGTGTTTTGGACTATATAAGCCTGATGTTTTTTGCTGCTCCTTTGAGCAACATACCTCATGTGTGTGAGTTAACCCATATCCTTTGTATGTGATTTAACTCTGCTCCTTCTTGCAAGAATAAACTAGAACCTGATCATTGATTCTCAACATGGTATCGAGTGATATTTTTCTAACAAGTTGTATAATTGCATTATCTTTGAAAATGATGGCTTAATTGCTGTAGTTATTTGTCTTGAGAGCAAATATTCTCCATGTTTACTACTAATTGTGATACCATCAAAGATAGTTTTATAGCAGAGTGATTTAAAAACGTACTAAGAGTCTTCCACAAAATATAAAATCATATTTAAATGTTATAACATGCACGTATACAATTTGTACAAAATGACATCTATACATTCTTACCAGGATCTTCATGGTTTTTATTGTATAGATTTGACGTACTGTAAAGGCTTGCCTTGTGTAAGAAAAGTAGGCTGTCCTTCTTATTTAGAATTATTTATTTTAAAATGGAGGCGGGACATCTCTAAGCAGTTGACCAATCACAACAGAGCCGGCCAGCTAACCAATCAGAGCAGACTGGGCTCTGGTTTCAGACAGAGGGTGAAAGAGCTTTTTGAACATTAAAGCATGGAGACATGTCCCAGTAGAGACACTACATACTGATATACACCTGAACATCAGCAGGAGAGGACTCTTTAAAGTAGAGACACTACATACTGATATACACCTGAACATCAGCAGGAGAGGACTCTTTAAAGTAGAGACACTACATACTGATATACACCTGAACATCAGCAGGAGAGGACTCTTTAAAGTAGAGACACTACATACTGATATACACCTGAACATCAGCAGGAGAGGACTCTTTAAAGTAGAGACACTACATACTGATATACACCTGAACATCAGCAGGAGAGGACTCTTTAAAGTAGAGACACTACATACTGATATACACCTGAACATCAGCAGGAGAGGACTCTTTAAAGTAGAGACACTACATACTGATATACACCTGAACATCAGCAGGAGAGGACTCTTTAAAGTAGAGACACTACATACTGATATACACCTGAACATCAGCAGGAGAGGACTCTTTAAAGTAGAGACACTACATACTGATATACACCTGAACATCAGCAGGAGAGGACTCTTTAAAGTAGAGACACTACATACTGATATACACCTGAACATCAGCAGGAGAGGACTCTTTAAAGTAGAGACACTACATACTGATATACACCTGAACATCAGCAGGAGAGGACTCTTTAAAGTAGAGACACTACATACTGATATACACCTGAACATCAGCAGGAGAGGACTCTTTAAAGTAGAGACACTACATACTGATATTAACTTTGAAATGCAGAATATGTCCCCTTTAACTGCACCACTGATAATATTAATCCTTTCTTTCACAATTGTCATATAGTAACAAAACAGCGATGAGTGAACTAACGCCTTCTGCCTCAGAGATGTGTGCCAGTGCAGCTAAACTCCCTGCTGATCTTTGGCTCCATTATTTTCTCCACTCAGGCAAATGCTTGGCAGAGTGGAGACGCTGCCAAGGAGTTTCTCTGTGGGAGTCACGTGCTGTGCTGCTGGACTCAAATCTGACTGAGACCCCATCCCTCCCCCTCCCCCCCTCTGGATCAGTGCCAGCAGAGCAAGAAGTACCACCAAGGTTCAAGGGGTCTGACACATTGGACCAGACAATGGTTTGGCTTCTTGTGTGCAACATACTGGATGGTTTGAAATGTTAACATGTGGTCTCTTAAGAGGTCCATGATTGAGCAAATTGTAGTTTTTCTTGCCATTGATGGGCTGCAAAGCATTATTTTACTCACCATAAATACAATTTCCTCTTTCATCAGACCCTATATAATCATACACACACATAAAAAAAATGGATTCAGCATGTGGGAATGGATCATTGATTTTATTGTTTGCACTCATCTTGACATTCTGTCAGGCACAGCGAGGAAACATGGCGGGAGGTGGCCGTATCCATGGATACAGGCTGGGGATGGCTGAGAGGTTGCAGGGTTGGGGGCTGCTGCTTCTTGGCAGGGGTCCCGCTCTAATAGAGGTTCTTCTGCACGTAGGCGGCGATGTACTTGACGGCCAGCATGGTCTCCTCGCATGTGGGCTTGATCTGAGACTCGGGCAGCAGGAAGCCGTAACGACCGGTGTCGCGCAACTCGAAGGTGTAGGAATACTTCACTCCCAGGTCGTAGGCCCAGTCGTCAGAGCCGCCGGCAGCGGGGTCTGAGGGCAGACACAGAAAAGGGGATTATTTAGAGGGATGATGATTTAGGATGTGTTTTCAAAATCTTTTTATTTGGTTGCTTGCAGACATGGCACTTTCAGCACATTAAACAAAGCACAGAACAATTTGTCTGCTAAAGGAAAGAAAAATACCCATCCCCTAATCCCCATTATTTCATGGTCACAGAAACAATTATAATAATACAAATAAATAAAATAATAAATACAATACAATAAATAACTCACATCACAAAGTCACAGGTAGCAGGAATACAAAAATAATTCACATTGAGTAGAATTATTTGTTTTCTTAGCACTAAATGTGCTGGCTCCGGCTTATATAGCAGAACTCCTCCAGCGCTACACCCCAGCCAGAGCTTTAAGGTCTGCTGACCAGCTGCTGCTGGTAGTGCCCAAGACCAGGCTCAAAACCCGAGGGCACCGAGCCTTCGCAGCAGCTGGCCCCAGGCTCTGGAACAGTCTGCCCCTCCATGTGAGGTCGGCCCAGACCCTAGGGGTTTTTAAATCATCACTAAAAACTCACTTCTTCTCTCTGGCCTTCTAGTTAGAGCGGAGCACGACTCCTGACTTTTCCCTGTATTTGATTTTTATATTTGCTGTTGTAAATGATTGTCTTCTGTTTGCTATCGCAGTAAAGTGATTTGATTGCATGTACAGCACTTTGGCTCGACCAAAAATCGTTTATAAAATGTGCTATATAAATAAACCTTGATTAGATTTGATTTGATACACAGAGTATTGGTCAATATGAAACCGGAAGAAAGAGAAGTATGGGACTCTCTCTCCGCGTCAGTGTCAGGGTCAGTGAGGTCATTTATAAATAACAGTAAGGGGTTCCAGGTTAGGATGTGTTTTAATACAACATGCAGCTGGTGTGTGTGCAGGACTTACAGATGGTTGCAGCAGCAGGTCCGCTGGTGTAGCGCGTCCCGTACAGACTGCGCAGAGCCGCAGAAGCTCCCTCAGCAACCTTCATCTACAACACAGAGAAGGAACAGATGTTTAAAAAAGATCATCAGAAGGTTTAAAAGCTTAGATATTAACCTAATATGTTGCTGAATACTTTGATAAAGCTCTGAACTACACTCAGACAGCATCAGATCACATGGAACATATGTAACTACTTGTTCTCCCGTGCTTTGGCAGACCACGTATGAGACGTATCGGTCTGTGGTTCTAAATTGGGGTTTTCTATTTACTATTTTGTTGTGTTTTAAAATGTTTTGACATCATGCATGAGGGTTTTCAGTCTGTGGCTATAAGGATGGTTTTATTGTCTCGTGCTTTTACATTAGTTTATTTTTGTCCTATCGGTTTTGTCTAAATGTAATTATGCTGCTTTTCTATATATGTATTGATGCACAGCACTTTGGTCAACTCTGTTGTTTTTAAATGTGCTATAAATAAAGTTGGATTGGTTAAGCAGAAAATACGTTGAGCAAAAGTACGTTTC